AATGTAGCACAGCGTTGCGTTTTAAGCGGACGTAAGTCGCTTAAACATAGCGCCCCCCTTTGCACGAGTGCAAGACTAACCCGAAGCAGCTCCATGGCCTGGATTGCTACATCCACCTGCTTATCTGATCTCTTCGGCCTACGCGTGTCCTTTACCATTTGCTTGCGTGCGTTTGGTTTTTTCGGCTTCCAAGTATCCTTCACCGGTTGACTGCGTGCGTATTTTTCCGGCTTGTGCGGAGTCTTCTGTGCTTCCCTCTTCCTCCCTAGTTTTGGACGATGAAGAAGGGTGTGATGTAATTGTTTGCAGTGGCTGCAAGTATTCAATGAGCCGCAATATCTTAAGTCGTCATGTGTGCGGGCGAGACAGTTGACGCAATATTTAAAACTGCGTGCAACCCCAATACGTTGATCCACGTTCATATTGAGGAAGAGTTTACAAAAACGCAGAGCATGATAGCGATAGCAAAGTACACACTGGTGGATTTTGGGATCTCTGCCATCCCGACGTGATCTGTAAATAGATTAGGTTTTAATGAAGTAGGAAACGAAGAAAGAGGTAGCAAAAACGCGAAGTTCCGGGAATAATTATTGGATGCCTCTCATTGTACGAGAGACACGAGTTTGCTAAGCGGCCATTGACCCGCATGAGTCCATTTTTATCTAAAAATGGATTTAACGTTAAAAGTGAGCTTTTTCTCGAAATAGGGTGCTTGTTGTGAATTTTTGAGTATTCACTGGGGTAGTGCCTTTCTTGGGCCAGTTTTATAAGGCGTGTTTTAGCCCAATGGATTTCCTTTTGAGTAATAATAGCAGATTCGTAGCTCATACGTGGAGTGGACTGTATTGGTTTTAAACGATGGATGAATCGAAACATGTACGATATCACTCGCAAGGCTCTAGGCCAGGATGAGAAGCGGTCTAGGATGTCAGGTTCGTTTTCCGATACATATAAAGCTTCAACTTTGCGCTCTTCGAGAGGAGCTACACTCTGTCGGAATGATAATGGCCATTGGTCGGAGGACTTGAGGAGCCAATCCGGTCCGTGCCACCAAAGCGAATTGGGTACTAAGTCTTGTGGCCTACAACCCCGTGTTCCTAGATCTGCAGGATTTTGATTAGTGGACACGTGACGCCATTTGGTGTTTCCAACATTCTTTATGATTTCTGATGTACGGTTGGCTACGTAAACTTTCCAAGTGCATGGCGGTTTTTCAAGCCACGCAAGGACTATTGATGAATCAGACCAAAGGAAGATATCGGCCGCTTCAAATGTAAGTTGATTCAGAACACTTTTTATGCATTTAGATAATAAGACCGCTCCACACAGTTCTAAGCGCGGGAGGCTGACTGTTTGCAGTGGTGCAACTTTCGTTTTGGAGAATAAGAGGTGTGACGAAATGGTGTTCGTGGATTGGGATCGTATGTAAACAGATGCACAGTATGCCTTTTCTGAGGCATCACAGAACCCGTGGATTTGGACGCGTCGACTTGGTGAAAATTCTGTCCATCGAGGAATTTGAATTTGTTCGATAATGGGCAAATCAGTTTGAAATTGTTGCCACTTTTGAAGTGAGAGTGGTTTCACACATTCATCCCACTCCGTGCCTTCTAGCCATATTTGCTGTAAAAGTATTTTGGCCTGAATGAGAATAGGCGCAAGCCACCCTGCGGGGTCAAACAATTTCGAGATCGAGGATAAAATTTGTCTCTTCGTAGCACTAGAAGCTGGCTTCATTGGGTCTATGGAGTACGAAAAAGAATCGTTTAACGCATTCCATCGGATACCCAGCGTTTTGGTAGAACTTGAGCAATGAAATCTTAGAAAGTCTGAGTCGAGCAAATCTTCAGCAGGAATACTACTCAATAGTTCGGAATGATTGGCTGTGATTTTCTTGAGTGGAAAACCAGCTGAGAGAAGACATTGGATGAGTTGAGATTGCGCTTTCAAACAAAATGGAATATCGTGACCGCCCGATAAAATGTCATCGACATAGGTTTCTTTTGTTAGGATTCTGTTGACTAAAGGATGGGAATCCTTTGAATCATTTGCGAGTTGGTGCAAAGTCCGAATGGCAAGATATGGAGCGCAATTGACTCCAAATGTCACAGTCTTAAGTGCGAAGTCAGAGAGTTTAGTGTCATTTTTTCTACGGAAGAGAATTCGTTGGTATTGTTGATCCTCTTCGTGTAGAAGAATTTGGCGATACATTTTCTGTATATCCCCGTTGAATACATACTTGTACAATCGCCAATTTAAAATGACAAACATGAGGTCTGTTTGCAATGTTGGTCCGATATGGAGTATATCGTTGAGAGAAATTCCAGATGCCGTTGGTTTGGAAGCATTAAATACCACCCGAACCTTAGTGGATTTGCTGTCTGGCTTAATGACAGCATGATGAGGTAAATAATATGAGAAGTATTTTCCATTATCATATACTTCATCGGACGTGATTTGTTTCATGTGGTCGAGACACAGGTATTCTTCTAACACCCGATGGTATTCTTGCTGGAGATTTTGATTTTTCTTGAGCATCTGCTCCATTCTAATTGCTTGTTTCATTGCTTGAGATCGAGATTGGCCTAGGGTGAGGCTCGAAGTAAATTGTGATTTGAACGGTAATCGGACTACATACCGTCCATCGCTTTTCCGATAGGTGGTGTCTTGGTATAGCTTCTCGCAGAATGCTTCTGCCTCAGACAGTGGCTGCGTTTCTGCAACTTCTTCTAACTCCCAGAAGCGCTTTAACTGAGAACAGAGATTTTCACTTGAGTCTTCCCCCACATAAGTGTGGAAATTGGAGCACTTAGTGGATTTGACTGGACCACTCAGATACCATCCAAAAATGGTATTTTGGGCGAGAAGACTTCCAAGTATTTGGTGCTTAACTCCTTGGAGAATGATTTCTGGTATTAGGTCACTTCCTATTACCATGTCGATTTGACCAGGAGTATAGAAATACGGATCAGCGAGATCTAGATCCTTAATTTCTGAGAGATGGGTCTTGGGCATACAAAATGTTGGTAGAAAACTGGTGAGTTTTTGAAGAACGATCGCTCGCGTATCGATCCTTGTGCCGTGTCGTTTGGAGACAAGAGTAATGTGGCAGACTCGATTAGCATTTTCTACGATTTTCCCGCCCATACCGGTAACTGAAAAGTTTTCCCGGTGAGTGGGGAGTTTGAGACGTTTTTGTACCTTTTCGGAGATGAATGTTTTTTGAGAGCCTTGATCAATTAAAGCTCTTAGGGTAAATAGTGAACCCATGTGTTCGATGTCCACTTGGGCGGTTGGAAGCAGCGTCTTCTCCTGATTCGCAGAGAAATTAGCTTGGATGAATGAGGTCTCGTCAGCCGAGGTGTTAGGGGATTCCTCATAATTATTTTCAGAGATTTCGAAAATTGGGTGTCTAGAATGACTTGGTAATTCGGTGGATTGGGTATGCAACAAGGGGGTTGCATTTGTGGCTGGTTTGGTAGGTTGCCTTTTAATCGGCGCCTTGGGAGGTGGCTTGTTAGAGGAGCTGGGATGGAGCATTGAGTGATGGGATTGTTGACAATGCAGACATCGAAAAGCACTTTGGCAATTTGGGAGACTGTGGTTATATGCCAAGCAATTGGTACAATGCCCGTTTTTTTCTACGAACTTGGTGCGTTCGGGAACGGTTAGTTTCCGAAATTCCGGGCAGAGTTTCAGCGAGTGATTATTCTGGCAAAGTTTACATTTGAAAGGGAGTTCTTCTTGGGAATGATAAGATTGGATTTTTTGGGATGTCTTTTGAGGAAAAGAGTTGCGGGGTTTAGTGGTTTTGTAGTTTTGTAAACGTTCAACTACTTCATACCGACTAGTTAGAAATGAGTTCATTTGCGTCCAGTCGGGAAGGTCTTTTCTAGACTTTAAAGATTGCTCCCAAAGAGAGAGAGTTTCTTCGGGAAGCTTGGTCGAACACAGGTAGATTAATATTGGGTCCCAATGAGTGACGGAAACCCCTTGAGATTTCAAGCATGAAAGGCAATCATTAATCGTATTTTGAACTCTTTGAATGCCTTCACTATTTTCTGAGGTGACAGGGGCAATGTTGAAAAGGGTCTTCAACTGTTTATCTATTAACATTCGTTTATTCTCAAAACGGGCTCTTAATGCTTCCCAAGCCAATGAAAAGTTTTCATCACACAGCTTATAGTGTTTCACTATTTCACCTGCCTTTCCGCGGGTTTTGTTTCGTAAATGAAATAACTTTTGAGCAGGGGTAAGCTTCGGGTGATTAAGATAAACGGCCGTGAACATATCACGGAAGGACGGCCACTCCTCATAGCTACCATAGAAAATTTGAGTGTCACACGGAGGTACTTTTATACAAGGCATAGAATTATCGTTAAAGGAGTTAGAATATCGTGTGCTGACATTTCTGTCGGAAGGGCCAGCTTGGAAAAGCTTAAGGTGGTCGAGAATTTGGGACTTGCATATATAGAAGCCATCCGTACACAATTGGAACTTAATAGAAGCTTCTTCTTTGAAATCGGCTGAAACCTGCTTTTCGTCGGTAAGACAAACGTTTTTGTACGAGATTTGTAAGCTTTCCCAACGAGCGTTGAGATCCTGAAGCTTCACCTCCAGCAGGGTGTCAGTATGGTCCGCAAGATTCTCTTTTTCGAAATGGGTACAAAAATTTACGAGATTGTTTGAATTAAAAATAAATTCTGCCATTGACTCAGCAGCCATGTTTTGATCTCAAAACAAGAGTACCGTGACAAAATACTTGAGAATGGATATAAAAATTTTGAGATTAAGGCAAAGAGGGGAGCTAGGTTCCTTCCTGGCGCACGCAGTGCGATATGAAAGTGTAAGCTTGGTTCACGGCAGAAAATAAACGACGGTTAAACGGTTTGTTTAAAGTAGGTTTAGTTGCGGGGAAGAGCAGATTAACTTCGCTCTCACTTTATAATAAGTATACCTATTTGTATGTATATATAATTGTACAGTTGATCGTAAACCGTAATCAATGGACTTATTGTGATTCTAAATTGGAAAAAATACCGGCAAGATTTGAGAGCGCACCCTAAACCAGCATAGAAATGTAAGCTTTAGAGGGCAGTGTAGATATCTGAACAGTTGTCTTCCAATTTCCAAAAAGTTTTATTTATTAATACTTGTTTTTTGTATTGTTTGAACGTATCAAGTATGTACATGCATACTACTTAACTATGTAGCTATTATTATAGCATGTGCACTTCACTGTGCTTATGTATGTTTGTACCAATACGTATAAACAAGAATTTTCCCCAAATCAGAAAGATTCTCTTTTTTTTTCTCAGTGTAGTGATATTTCGTTTCACCGGAATTCTTATTGGAAAAAGTAGATGCCTTTCCGATTATTGCGCTCACGAAATCCACGCGCTAGGACACGTACATATGTATGTAGGTAAGTACGTGCCACAATTAAATGCGAAATGAAGAAATTCAGACGTAAATGCCGATAAAACTGGAACAAAGCCAACCGAAAAATGAGCTGGTGCAACAGCAGGTTGAAGAGATGTATGAAGTATAAATTTTTATGCACGAACACGGTGTGTACATGCATACATGCACATGGGTATGTATGTATGCTTGTAAATCGTAGAATAGGGGTGAATGAGGATAAAGAGAAAACGCAAAAGTCGGCGCTGGCGCCCCCAAAAGTTGCCCAGCGAACACAAAGCGCAGCAAAAGAAATACAAAAACTATTTTGTGTAGCGAAATGTACGTACGTACATACATATACATATGTATGCATATAAACCCACCACTTGCAAACTATGAAAACAATGCTGATATGATTTACGGAATGTTGTATTGTATGGATCAGTGGATTGATGGCACGTTTGCAAAATTTTGGACACTATGTTCTCCACTGAAGTGTCTTCGGTCAATGATTGGTAATAATAACACACATATGTACATACATATGTAGACGCGCAAACCGTTGGCTATTTAGCCGATTCAAGCAGTGCGATTTGTTCACTTGCACGTTTCACTAACTCACAAGAGCTTTTGACAAAATCAATTTGAATGGGCTAGTTGAACTAACTGAACATACATATGTACCTATGTATATGCGTATGTAGTATTCGGAATAGACTACTAAAGCGCTACAAATTTTACAAGAAATGTAAAGTGATAAATCGAGAAGGTGATAAATTTGTTGGTTTGTATGCCGGCACAAGCGGTGTACTTGCAAAGGCTGCGTAAAAATATAGATGCGAATTTGAACATAAGCATAAACTGAAATGAGTATTCAACCCTTTTGTAGGCAATAAAAACGAATCCCGCAGAATATCTACATATGTATGTAAGTATGCATATACATTAATACCTACAAATGAAAGGTTCAAAGCGAGTAAAATCTCTCAACGCGCAGTTATTTCAACGAGTAACTTTTTGTATGTATGTAAGTATATGCATACGCCTTAATACCGTTGGAGTAACGGGATTTAAAACTTTTCTTTCAAAATAACGGAGACTTACACAGTACGTTTTTTGGTACTCATCGTTTTTTGTCCCGCGCTGGCCGGTCACCCTGATCTTTTGGAGATGCTTGTTGAGACTCCCTCGGCGGGCGCTGATGTATGTTTGTATGCACGGGAATAGCGCCTTCGCACAGCGACGGAATGCGGTTCCCCGGTGTTGCGTTTTGTAGATCCCACGCTGGGCGCAATAGATGTATGTATGGCGAGTGTACTTCTGCGCCTTTTTAATATGCGTAGGTAGGTTTTATGCCGATTTGCAGGCTGACGTCCCACGTTGGGCAGCGATACTTTGGTAGCACGTTGGTTTTTCGGTATTTTAACTTACCAACTTTATATTTTACACGATACCGACTGAAAATGATTATAGTTCGCACGATTAAACTTTTTAAGTTGTTGCTGCCGGGAATTGCTGCCGTTCGCTTCGCTGTCAAATCAGAAATGCAAAATGGTAGTCGCGACTAGTGTTGAGAAACGATTTTACTATTTCGAATTCCTTTTCGAAGGTTGTGTTGCTAATATGCAATTTAATGATTAAGTGTGTTCCGGTGCTGCCTAATTCGGCTTGCAAGGACCATGTTCAGTTTTATGAGAAAAATATTTATTGCAAGTTAAACGAATTCA